TCCTAGTGTAAAGCAAGACAAATGCTCCCGCTCAGGCTCTTCCCAAATCTATCACTCTACAAGCAATTACAAGACACAGAACTTTGCAGGTTTGCATGGCTTGAGAAGAAGTAGACATCTCCCTGTACTGGGTGCAGACTAGAAGCAAGAGTTCTTCAAGCATACTTGGAGTGTAGAGACTCAAGGCTACAAACATCAAAACTTGCACACCTCAGTAACAAGTGAAAGAAAAAAAAACAGTCTCATTGCAGAAGAARGGATAAAGAACTAGTGACAAGGCTTTACCACTGCAAAAAATCACAGATGAATGTGAGCTATCTGCAGCCTGAGGCTGGATGGAAGACACCCTTCTAGTTGTGTGCTCCCTCAAGTCCCCTTTCCCCACTTCACTAAGTGCCAAACATATATTAAAAGCCTCAGAAATACTTAACTGAAACAAGAAATGAAGCACAGCTTGAAGCAGCCCCATTGCTAGGCACCAAGACCTATGTTGCTGAACTGGCTTGCTAGTCCTGGGCACTCTGGAGCTAGACTGGCTCTCGCACTATAAGATGGAGCTGCTGACAGAGCTGTCCTGAGAAAAGGGTATATACAGTGCTTCCTCCCTTGCAAAGCTCAAACTCTTACCAAAAGATGTTGCAAAAGCAAGATAATCACACAAACAATAGGATTCTCTCATTTTTCCTTCTATGTTTCCCAGGCAACACCTAGCACTCAACAACAGTTTAGAGTACAAAGCCCCCTCTGTTTGGTCAGCTAATGGCAGAAAGACGAAGAGACTTAAGCAGAGCTTCTCTCAGCTTATTGTTTGGTCACTCCAGTGAGGCACTTGCAGGCAGTGACATTTATATCCAACATTACACTGTATTTAAATCCAATCTTCTATGCTGGAGCTCTGAAAATTCAGTGAAGGAGGTGCATTTCTGCTTCTAGAATAACAGATCTGTAAGCTTGCACACATGGGTGGGAGCACATGAGAGGGCTAGGAAAGCAGGTGTGCATGGATCTCAGCAGGAATGCTCCAGGCTATAGAAAACCATTTGGATCCAGTATCGTTACCTAGAGAAAAACATAACTGCGTAGATGTTAAAGGAAACACCAGTAAGTGTGGTAAAGAGGATTCAACAGGTCTGAAACACCAGTCAAGGCACACAGTACTCAACAGCACTCCAGGCCATGACTTTAACGTATTGTACATATGTTCAGCATTCCTGTTGGGTACATAGGTTTGTTGCCATTGCTGCTTTGGTGAATTTGGTCTTGTGTATAGAAAGGCGAGGCCCTCTTTACAGCATGAGCCTTCAGCTCACACTGACCTGACTCTCAAGGCTAGTATGCAGACAGACCTCTGATTGTCATGCAATTCCTGATCTAGCTGTTCAAGGAGAGGCTACAGGAATAGAAGCTCAGTGCTTAAATCATATACAAGATGGCCTGAAGAACATGCCCCTGGCATAACCCTCAAAGCTATGAGGCTTCAAGAAGGAATTGCAATCTTGAACAATGTCCACACATGGCTTATATATTCCCTGTCTGAAGAGGTATCATACAATGCTTCAGATAAGTCTTGGGCATCCTGTGAAACAGATGCTACTTCTTACCTTCTTTTAGCAAGCCTGACTGGATTTAGAACTTACTGTTCTAATATTTGGGAGCTCGTCTATTATTTCAAAGCTGTGGCCAGCAGAGAACATGCAATTCCAAACAACCTTATAAAAAGTTAATCTACTTAATCTGAATAGTAGGAGTAAGTCTAGTAYGTAATAGTTTTGTAGTTGTTTTTTTTTAAAAAAAGGACTTTTTATACAGTAAAAAGGCCATGTACACATTTACTTTATCTCCCACATGTAGCCAGGAAGGTGCCACTTCTTCAGGTTGCCTAGCAGGGTATCTGTTTCCAGATTTTCCTATCAGAAGTTTTTAGAGTTTCAATGTCCCTTGTCCTAATTTTTGCATTTTGGCCAGTTTTGTAGGAATGGCTCTTCAGTGATAGTTCCTCATATTCTATCCTTATAATAGAAAAGTTGCAAGATGCTTGGTACATGCTATTCAACCCTTCTACTGTATTTTCATTTCCACAAACATCTGCTACTGAGCTTAGCACCTGTATCTATAAATTAAATTGGTACTCAATATCATTAATCAATGCACATTCCCACACATCAGTTAAAATATCCATAAATACAGAAACTTTAGTTGCTGTTTTTTTTTTCCCCCACCAAAAACCATCTAGAGTAGGTAAATCAGATTGTCAGCACATATTCTCTCTCTCTCTCTCATCTTTATGGAGAGAATCCAGAAACCAAACCTCAAGAACCTCCACCCCTTATTGTCATGATTATTTTAAAGCAAATCATAACTTACAATCCCAACTCTTAAGTGCAAAGGCAACTGAAGTTCCTGTCCCAGCTAGGTCTCAAACTTCACCCACACACAGCAGAATGAAAAGGTAATGTAGGGTGGAAACAAAAGGAACAGAAGCACCACTGCAATTTAGAAATCCTCAGGGGATTCTTTCCTGGGATCCCCAAGCCCCACCAGCACTACCACACTGAATGGAAATATTAAACATAATCAGTATCCAGTGGGCTGGTATAGCACTTTCATTTTACACATATTGTAGCAGACAAAGTTCAGCCATGTCATTTCTTGGGGCCAGGACACTGGACGCTTTGTCAGAAAGAACCACGTTTACACATAGTCCAGCTAACAATGAATTTGCTTGACATTGCGTCTGCCTCAGTCCTCACCTTCCTGTTGAATTTGGGGGACAGTTCCAGTTAAAACCTTCAGGCTGGTGCCAGTACAGCTACTGCCAGAAGTCCTGTCAGACGAGACATTTTAAAGAAATCCCCATGGGAATAACTGGGTGCTAGAGAGCAATTTCCTTCCTGCACTACTGGAGTGGAATAAGCCAGATGTTAGGGGGAAGGAAGGAGAGAGAAGAAAGGCAAGAAAGCATGTTTTGCACATAAGCAGTCACAGCATAGTCAGCTCTAGGCCAGGAAAGCTCCTATAGAGAATTGGATAGAGAAAAGTAAAACAAAGAATGCAAAACTGCAATACTTTCCTAGAAGCAGAAGACCTAGTGAACTATAATCTCAGGCAGAAATTCTTACATGACCACCTTCATCAATTCCCATGCAGTTACAGCACAAATAAACTTTCCAGCCTAGGACTGCAGAGCCAGGAAAGAAGCAGAGGTACTCCAGACTGAGCTGGATCAGGGCCTCTTTGCTGTGTGCTGGTCACAGAGACAAGTGCACAATATGCCCTGCCATGAACTCTGATCTTTGCACCACAAGATCCTTGCCTGGTTTTAAAATTTAGAGGCAGACTTTCTCCTCCAGTAAAGCTCAGAGAGATTAATTGTTAATTATCACTGTGCTCCTCGTAAAGACTTTTTTTTTCTTTTTTTTTCTTTTTTTTTTATTCATGGGCAGGAACAGGGATTCTCTGCCATTCCAAGATGAGTACTAGAAGAAATTAGAAAAGGGTTGCTTTCCAGAGCAGATGAGTGATGCTCACTTATTCTCACAAGCAAACTGGGCTACCTGTACCACGTGCTACGGTAAAGTCATGAACCAGTAGATACGTTTTTGTTTCTCTTCCCATGTTTCTTTTTTTTTTTTTTCCCTTGAAAAGGAGTAAATTTTACTCAACAAGGAAACAAGTGGGTTTGAAACTTCACCAGAAACAACTTTTCAGGGAAGGCTGCAGCACTAACTGCTCATCTCAAAAGCCATTCTTAGCCCTATCCCCCCACTGAATGATATTGTCACAGCTATGTACAAAGACTTGTATCTAGATCAGAAATGCAAAGAGTGGACTCTACTACCTAGAGCAGCTCCTCTCTCAGAGGAAGGACAACTCTGGGAGCAACAGACTGAGCTCTGCAGTTCACAAGAAGCATTTACATTAGCACAGTCAAATTTCACCTGCAAGGACAGTACATGGTGCAAAACCCTGCCTGTGAACAAAACCATCTTTACCTTAGATGTGCAGGGCTTTGAAATTCCAATTATGCAGAAGGATGCCAAAAATTTGGTTCTAGGGAAGTGACAGGCAAAATGCAAAGAGCAGCTGCAGCATTGATAAAACAGAGATCATATAGTCTAGCCAGGAACCAGTGCTTCAGGAGCCTTACGTGGGGAAGTTGCACCACCTGCTGTCTGTTCCAAAGCAAGCTGTCAGCATCTATTAGGACATGATTAAAGATAGTGAGTGTTAAAAAAAAAAAAAACAAAACACTCATCAGAACCTCTGTTATTTTTGCAGTACATACTCTTGATTAAAGTCACCAAGAAAGATTCTTTGTATCTGAAAATTATAAAGCGAAATCAGGATAGGGACTACAAAAGCTAACACAGAATAAAGCTTCTTGAAGAGGCTAAAATTTTGCCAGACAGCAAAAGAGCTGTCTCTTCAACCCACTGTGGCTTAGCAAGAAGTTAATAGTTGCGTCATAAATTCTACACTCCTCTGCTTTCCTAGCAGCACGCACTAGATGTTGTGGCACTAACTGATCCAATCCAACAGGACAAAGAGATCAAATGCCTACAGAAAGCCACAACAGTAAAAATATTCTTAGGATACAGGGTCTTAGAGATGCACAAAAGCAGACAAGTCAGACTGCTCTCTTAGCCAGCACAAATATAGCAGGCTGCAGAAGATCCTCTTAATACTAGAGATCAAGGATCCTGTTCATATGCAAGTATTTTGTGTGCCAGGCCTCAGAAATAATTGGGTATGATTATTGGGCATGAGAAAGGTCAGTGTGAATCTGAAAGGTAGTAAAGTTTAGAAGAATGACTTCTACTTGTTCAAACATAGTTATACAATGTACACACAGAAGGGAATAACTTTTTTTTATTAAAAATAAAACAAAACAAGAACACACACACACACTCACACACTTTCTCCTTAGATTATTCCTCATGCAATATCTCCTGTGATGTTCCTCTCTCTCCTGGACCTGCTGGGCTAGCAGTACTCGTATCTCCTTGTCCTTCACCCATCACCACTCCATCAGATCATCAGATCCAATTAGTCCAAAATACCAGTAGGCATTTACTTCTCATCTTATAATCCACAAAGAACACCAGTTACCAAGGTCAAAGGCTCTTCTTCCCATTGGTCAAGTCTTGGATTTATGTATGACGATTTGCTCGCTCTGCGAGAGGAGCTGCCACTTAGCAGAACCACAAGAAGAGTGTAAAGAGTGTAGGAAGATGCATCTAMCTTCCCCCCTTGATAGCCAAAGCCTAAACAATACTAAAATGGTCCCTGAACCACTTAACCTGCAGTTCTCAGACATGCTCACGTTCACTCTGCAGTTCATGACTTGCATTGCCATTGTACAGTCTTCAGGATTTCCCACCGAGTGTGTCATAGCATTTCCCACTCTCACCATTCCATTCTACTTCCACAGCTCCACAGCTTGTATTCCAAATTCAATCACTGGAGAAGGGGCACTGCCTGTTTCATGCGCAACCTTCACAGATCGATACTTTAGTAGAACAACAGGACTCTCACCAGGCCCTGGATCTCCTTTGGGAAGTYATGGACAGACTCTTGACCTTCCTCCTAGGTAGTTGTCAGGTATGTCCAAGAAGGATGCAGAGCAGTGCGCTTTGTGTTTCAGGGTCAGTCATTGCTGCTGTGCAGTTCCAACATCCTCCTCCTCTTCCTCTCCACATTCAGTGTGTCGCAGCAGCAGCTCCAGGTCAGGATTGGAGCTGGACTCTTTGTGCAGCTTCAGTGGTTTTTCACCTGCACGTAGATAGTCCATTTAGTGACTAACTCACTAGAATAACCATGAAACCCACAATTCACAAGAAGCTAGGCCGTGACTCGACTCAGCAAGGTTACAGGAACAACTACAGAGAAAAAGAAGGGGATTTAAAACCCAATCACCTTTTGAATTAATGGCTTTGAGAATGACATGCAGAGAGATTCCTGAAAGACAGACACCAAAGCCCAGCCAGTTCAAGAGACTGAGGTGGTCTCCTAGCACACGTGTGGCAAGGAGTAAAATGCAGATTTCCTGTGGAAAGAAAAAACATGAGAGATGTCAGGGTGGGAACTGATGGAACAGACATGAGATATTTTACAGTGCAAGCCTACATCAAGATGCCTATATTAAACTACTAATTTCCCTCAGCATATTCCTCAGTGTGGAGAGTTCTAAAAACAGATTCAGGAAACAGTATCCAGGTCTGAAGCAAGACAGTGTCCTTCTTACCTTCCATTCCTCCTCATCCTCCCAGTATGCATAAGTCATAAGGCCCATGCAACTGAGCCTCTCCTAGAGATTCAATGCAGCAAGCTCACAGCAAGAACAAAAATAACAGATTATGATTCTAGGGCTCATTATGACCCCACCCTTCAAAGGCTATTAGGGATGGCACAACACTTTCTTTCTGGTTATAGCACAAGGAACCATGCCTTACCTTGAAAATGCCAGCAATGGAAAGGGTGAGGCTAGATGTTCTGGAAACCAAGAGGAACTCAGAAAAACCTAGTCCAAAGGCAAGAATTCCACCCAAGAACAACTTCCCTATCAGAGACAGCAGCACTCCTGCTTCATGGAAATGGAACAGCTTCACTGACACAGACAAAGGCAGGCCTATGGAACAAGAAAATGAGTAGTGGAGTACCTTTGCCAACACCCAGGATGACCCACAAGATAGGGGTAGGCTGTTCACATGCCACTTTCAGGAAGATGTTGAGATGGTTCTTTAAGGCCTTGTTTTCACAAGTATGCTGTGGTACTATTCCTGTATACTCTTTAATATTTTACAATACAATGGCTATCTTTGACATTTTTAACTCAAGGTCTCCGACTACTCTGTAAATTTGCAATTACTCACTTATCTTCGTGAATCATGTCAGACAACAAACTGCTGAGCAATCTCCCCAATTATTGCAAAAAGCTGCTCTTGCTTTCACCAGTTAACTCACGTACCCTCAAACACAGCAAAGAGAGGGAACAGTGTCAGGAACATGAGCGGCTGCAGGTGAAACATGGTATCAATGGGGTTCTGGAGTCCTGAAAGAGGAGAATCAGTAACAGAACACAGCAAGCCAGGAGCCTTATTTGCAATGCCCATCCCTACATCGCTGCAGAGGCCAAGCCACTTTCATTACCCATCAAATACTGCTGTGTCAAGTTTCAAATGGCATTTCTCACATACAAAGTTTTACATCTGCAGCAAGGCTACCACCTCCTCGTTCCCCTTCCCACCACCAGCACAGTCACCCACCTCCTAACTCCCTACATACCCAGTTCAGCCTTCTGCATAAGTATCTGTGTGAGAGTCCAGCGAATACCCCCAAGGAAAGAAGCACACAGCACCAGCATGAACCCCTGTGTGTTGAACTGCGTGGACTTGTAGGTGAACATGAAGAGCCCCCCAGCGATGAGCAGAACCACCAGCACCAATGCCACCCTCTGGGTGAGAGCAAACACAAAGTCACTACAGAGACTCCTGGAACTGAACAAAGACAGACACCTCCTCTTCTTCAGATCCATCCACACATCTGCATTCCTCTTCCATTTATACATTTCTCCGTGCTGTACAGCATATTTGCCCTATTTGCCTAGACCTAACCTTCTGCCTCCCTAAAGCATTGCATACAACCCTTACCACTTCCTCCAGTTTGAAGAGTAGTGAAAAGAGCAAGATGAAGATAACAGCAGAAGATTTGGTCATCGTGTAGCTGTAACAACCAGAACACACTGTCAGTTTACTCCAATTCAGTCCTTCCCTGTAAATCACTATTAGGATTTAGACCACTCAGTTCAATATTGCTACCAACAAATTATCACCGTCTTCCATGTGCCAACCCCATGAAGCCACATGCCATCCAAGAAACTGATCCTGACAGAGCACTTCCCAAACCCCAAGAAAGGAATCCTTGGGAGCAAGGGTATTTGTACTCACAGGGAAACAGTAACGTATAGGAAACTCCAGTTACTCAGACCAATATCCAAGGAAGTTGACAGAGCTAAGGAAGCAAAGAAAAAAAATCCTAAAGTTAACAGGGTATTTTTATGCTGTGGAAGAAGGTTACTTGACCAGGAACGCAGAGAGAAAAGCAAACCTAGAAAACAATTGGCTTTATTTAGATGAACTTCTCTATACCATTGCAACCCAGATATTCTCAACTCTTCATATTTCTGTCCTGTTCTCTATGGTTAAAGCAGGGCCCAGCATCGTGGCAAAAGAACTCATATCACATAGAATTCCAGAAACAACTCTTGTCCTCCCTGTGACTGAAAGTAATCACAGATTTGCAATATTTAAATTATTTCTGAGCATATCTGAGTGTGATGCCTTGCAAGAAGGCTGCTCCAAGCAGTCTAAAGAAGCAAGTCTGGCAACAAGCATTATTAGGGACCCTTAATCCTGGTCCASCCCTTGCTATAGCCTATTTTCTCTTGTACAAAGGTGACTGGACCAGAACAACCAGCAACTGCTGTGGTGGGGAGACAGGGCTCAGTGCATGAGCTTCCTTTGGCAGGTCCAGCTACCACGGTTCTGATATAACATGAACATACCTGTCATGAAGGCCAAGAAGCTGCCACCTGAAAAACTTACTGAAATAATATAAATGTGTAACTTACTACTGACATTACTGAGATGAAATAACCCACATAGATAAGTTTTGGGTATATTCTATAGTGTTCACACTTTGTATTCACACACATCATCTCTGGCTCCTTCACCAAACCATGTTCAATRAAATTGCCACATGCTTTAACTAGTTTTGTCACAACTGATAATTGTTACTTAAAGCTTAGAAGGAGCAGCTGGTTCCTTCTAAGAGCAGTTATCCCAGAGCAGTTATTGCAGCACACAGGCTGCATCCACGGGGGTGAGAGGGCTGCGCGAGCCACAACCCGCCCTCGTGCAGCCCGGCGGGCCCGGGTGGCCCCGAGGACATGGGCCGCCCGGCACCGCTCCCCAGACTGCAGCTCGGGCCTGGGGGCGCGGCCCGAGACAGACGGTTCCAAATCAACCTGTTAACATCACAGGCGCCTGCGGGCACGGCCCGGCCCTCCCCGCCGGCCCGGCCCCTTCCCGGCGCAGCCCCTACCTGCGGGCGCCGCCCGGCGCAGGTAGTCGCCCCAGGAGAGCTCGGCCCGCGGGCGGCCGGTGCAGCAGCGCGCCAGGGCGCGGGCCAGCGCCGCCAGCCCGAAGATGACCAGGAGATGCAGCAGCGTCATGAACAGCGGGAAGCGGAAGCTCTGCGGGAACCGACAGCGGCCGCCCGTCAGCACCGCGCCGGCCGCCCGCCGCGGCCGCCCCGCCCCGCCGCCCGCACCTTCATGAGCCACTTGTTGTAGAAGGTGATGCCGATGGAGAAGCCGTAGTAGAGCAGCACCAGCGCGGCCGCCAGC